AGTGAAGCAAAGGCAACATGTAAAATCTGCAACAGCAATGCACACAAGCTATCAAAGTGCGACAGATTTTTGCGTCTAAAGCCGACGGAGCGAGTAGATTACGTGAAGAGCATTCGCAGTTGCTTGAACACAGTCTCAAGATGTACCAGCTCATTTAACTGCAGCACTTGTCATTCAAGACATCACAAGTTGCTCCATATGCCAATTCAGCCAAAAGCAACAACTGATCCATCGGGTAACGTGGAATCTACTCCAAACCAGGCTCAATCAAGACGCGAATCTGAAAAAGGAAACATCAAATCGGTTACAAATGTAAATTCTTGTTACGCAAATACAAGTAAAGGAGTTCTATTGGGAACAGCACGGCTACAGCGCTTATAGATTCTGGTTCTGAGTGCTCGTTCATTGCTGAGAGAGTCAAATGGAGAATCAACCTGCCATCAAAACGCTTGCATGCCCAAGTTTCGGGCATCAATAACTCTGTATCTGCGCAGGTAAAAGAAGCGTGCGCTATTCAACTTCGATCACCCACAGACCCGTTAATTAATATAGAAGCAATCGTGCTGGTTTTACCACAATCTTAGGAGGAGATATTTACCCGCAAATAATTTTAAGCGGAATGAGGAAGAATGTATTAAATACGCTTCTCGCGCAAGAGACCGTGTTCGGTTGGATACTGACTGGTCGCGCGGATTCAGTCAGTCCAACCAACAATATCGTATCGTATTTTAACGAAGTCACGTTGGACAAGCAGCTAGCTGCATTTTGGGAGCTGGAGGATGTCCCAAAGAAAAAAGGCATCAACGAAGATGATAAATACTGCGAATAGCTCTTCGAAGCATCTACAACACGAAATACAGATGGAAAATACATTGTGTCTCTACCTTTTAAACGGGATTTTCCGAAAAATGTGTGCTTAGAACCTTCGCTGAAAAATGCATGCTCTCAGTTCTACCGGAACGAGACGCGACTAGCGAAAAAGCCGGTCCTTCAAACAGAGTACAACCGGGTTGTATCTGAATACGAGACACTAGCACATATGTCAAAAATTAATAAAAAACATTTCACCAGATTCAACGGACTGCTATTTTTTACCTCACCACGCCGTTTTAAAGGAAGAAAGCACCACTACAAAGGTCAGGGTTGTATTCAACGCATCATGCCCAACCGCTAATGGCGTGAGTTTGAATGATGTCCTTCTTTCAGGCCCAGTACTTCAGGCCGATTTACCCATTCTTATACTACGTTGGAGACTGTACAAATACGTATTCAACAGCGATATAGAAAAGATGTATCGACAAATTTGGGTAAATCAAAATCAAACAAAATATCAGCGAATAGTTTTTCGTATTTGCCCAAAAGATCCGATCAGTTTGTACGAATTAAAAACCGTGACTTTTGGCATAAACTGTGCTCCTTACCTTGCGATAAGGACATTACACCAGCTTGCTGATGATGTGGAGAGCTCTCATCCAATCGCATCTGACATTTTGCAAAAATGTATGTATGTTGACGAAGTACTCGCCGGGGGACATAGCGTCGAAGCTGCGATAAGAGCTCGAGAAGAGATATCACAGGTGCTAAATTCAGCCGGGTTTCCATTACGAAAACGGACTTTCAACTCTAGCAAAATACTTCAAGGAATACCAAAAGGTCATTTACTTAGTGAAGATTTCTTAGAGTTTGAAGATACCAGTGCAGTAAATGCTTTGGGTATCAGATGGAACGCCCATTCCGATTACTTCTACTTTATAGCGAAACCAATTGAAAATAGTAGCATTATTACAAAGTGGGCAATACTTTCAGCCATCGCCAAACATAGACCTACAAACGATTGTGATATTCTAAGCAGTATTCAAAGTAAGATAAAGATACATTCGGTACACTTGGCTCTATTTAGGTACAACATATTTCTCCAAAACCAAAACAGGAGACCGAATGTCATCAGTCAATCACCTACAAACGATTCTGCATCACTTAGTCGGCAATTCAACATTCTATCATCAAAATTAAAAAAAAAACAAAGGCTAACTTCCGTAAAAATGTTGAGCTTTCTTAATTTTCTTATTTTAGAAAACGGAAGATCTATCAAACGTTAATTTTTGTCTATAATAGACCTACAAACGAT